ATTCTCTATTTGGTGAGGCATCGTTCTCATACTTCAGTTCTTCAGACACAGAGTATCCTTTAGTTTCTTGAATATATTTCAAATAACTTATTTAAAGTTTTGTCTAGTAAGTCTAGTGTCTGATCTTCCTCAGGGTCAGTTTGTTGATTACTTTTTTCTTATGTATGAACCATACTTTCATGTTTCTTTGCCTATCACCTAATTTCTTTTTAAAACTAGAAATTTAGGGGTGTCTGGATGGCTCAGTCGGTTAAGTGTCTGCCTTCGGCCCAGGTCATGATCCCAGGGTGCTGGGATCAAGTCCCGCATTGGGCTCCCTGCTCAGCGGAGAGTCTGCTTCTGTCTCTCTTGCTATCTCTCTCTTAAATAAATAAATAAAATCTTTAAAAAATAAAACTAGAGATTTAACTTAATGTATCAACTGTGGAAATTAAATGCTCCTTCCTTCCAGTATTTTTTTGTTTTCCTTTTTTATTTAGTGACTTTTGCAAACTAATATTGTAAAGTTTATTATGTGTTGTCACTGAAGTGTCTCCTGTTACCTTAGTGGTCAGCTAATGATTAGAGATTTTATTGAGTGCTTGGAAACTGAGTCCCTAGCATGTTGGAACAAGTCATTAAGACTCAGCCAGTTGGTTTACAACTCACTCTTTCCTTGGCCTTGCCTTTCCTTCTTGTGCTGAACCTGCAGGTCATCCTGAGGAGAGAGCTTAGGGTCTTCCCAGGGCTTTCCTGGGCTTCTGCATGGTACTGTGCAGGCGTGTAGCCTTCTAGATTCCCAGGAGTGTGTCAGAGCTATTCAAAGGGCAAGTGGATATCTCATCCTCCCACTTCTCTTACTGGCTTTTGGTTAGACTGTTACTTGCTCCATCACCTGAAGCAACTAAAATCTTATGTAATTGCCTCTAATTATTTTCTTTGAATACCCCCAGGGAAAAGGCATTTTGTACTGGATGAGCTCCAAGTCAGGTCAAATAAAATCCTCTGGGAATGAGGTTTTGAAAGAACTCCACCCTTTTCCGCGTCCTCCAGCGGCCCCCAGACTGCTGGTGTCCACTGTGGTTACAGCTGTTGGTTTTCAAGGCTCCTGCAGAGCTGGGAGTGGTCCTATTGGAAAAGGACGCATTAAAACATCACAGAGCTCACTG